TGTGATCTATATACAATGTAGCACTGCTCTCTCTCACTCCCCACCCCGTCTGCAGTGATCTATATACAATGTAGCACAGCAGCAGCAAACTGCTTTCACAACAGCAAACTCTGATGAGATCTTCTACCAACGATAACCTAAAACTGATACCAAGCTCACTCCTGAAAATGGCAGTGTATTCCAGGGCCGAGAGCTCAGGGTCCACCACACACCACCTTCCCCCTCTGCCTGTGACCTATTACTTTAGAAAAAGAAAAACTAAAGAGCCTTTCAAAAGCTATTGCCTCTTAGCATATATTGCACTGCCGAGCACTTAAAACTGGCCAACTGAAAGTGAATACAGAAAACCGTCAGCTGGCTAGAATATGATGTGGAAGGGTTTACATGGCTGAATACCTCAGCATGTCTGAGGGCTAGGTCTGAGTTGACAGAATATGGAAGGGTGTGAATGAAGTGAAGGAGGCAGGAGGATCGCTTTCTACAAAGAAATCTGTATTTCAGATCACATTGGTATTGTTTACTAATGCAACATTTACTTCCCTGTCAGCCCCTGGGTAGAGAGCTGAAGATGGGAGAGGAGAAGTGGGGATGACCCAGCTGTGGAACTTAAGGACAGAGCTTACTCAGGCTCTTGAACAACAAGCCCAAAGACTAGTGATTGCTTTTGATCACAGAACTCTCTCTGAAAGGAGTTAAATGCAAAGAGCAACAAAAAGCCCTGTTGCCAGGGTAACAAATCACCCAGAGTACTCCACAGTGAGGCAAGGGCTTTGAGACAGGTAACTGTTCTCATCCCAGATAGAACAGTCAATCATTTTTGCATCTTGGTCATATATATGCCAATTTTGGAATTTTTCAACTTTATTGAGACCTGTTTTGAAGTGGGTAGAGGGAATTCAATTCATGGAATTTTGCTCACAAGCCTGGAATGGAAAGAAGAAATTATTCCATTGTAAGGCTCTTGGATTATGATATAAAATCATGTGGAAGTGAATTGTGAGATGTGCGAGATGCACACTGTCACAAAGAACCACAAAAATTAAGCACTGGAGGGTTTAGGGAGATTGCCACACCAACAGGAGGACCTGAGTTCAATCCTCAGAACACACACCAACACCTGGGCATAGTGGTCAGCACTTGTAACCCTACTATTGGAGGATAGAGGACCTGGGATATCCCTGGTGCTGGATATCTATCCTAGGCAAGCTGGTAAGTCCAGGTCTCAATGAGAGACTATATTGAAAGAAAGAAAGAAAGAAAGAAAGAAAGAAAGAAAGAAAGAAAGAAAGAAAGAA